TTGAGCTGAAAAAAGTTTCTGAGGGGTTCTGGGGCATCACGGGAGGCAAAAAGGGGTCAATTAGATTATGTTTTTGAAAATGGGTTTAATGGCATTGACCATTTTTTGGGTTACAACCACACTAAGCACAAAGCATCTGTGTAATAAGACACATTTAGTTTGGGTGAAAAAAAGTAATGGCTGCAATAGGGGCCCCAGGTGGGGGTAAAAAAGGAGTAAAATTAGGTAAAGTAAGCTTCTTTAAGTTTACAATAGAAAAAGGTGTGGCCTCAATGGGGGCATATTTAATGGGCAGAAAGGGGTAGAATTTGTTAAATCTTAGCAAGTCTTGTTGTCCTGAACCAAAAGTGTAACTTCATAAAGATGATCTTTAAGCAAAAGACTGCAAAGTTTGTGAGAATAAAAATAACTGGTCCAAAATTAACCCCTCTGATATTTGTTACATATTAAACTTTAATAAAGACATGTTGTGTGTTTATGGCAACCATATAGGCGAGAAAAAATGTGTAGCCAGATCTTTCATCAAACCCGGATCTTATTACTCGCTGAACCTTCTATGTTCTGAGCTACATGTATAATATGGTTCAATACCTGCGGTAGCACTACATTTCTCAGCCTTGATACATATATATTCCTGTCTCAGAAGAAGAATTGTTTTATGTGAGTTGTTTTAGTTGGATGCCTTATTGTATTAGGCAAGGAAAAGATTGTGGATAGACTTGAAATTGATCTGATTTTTGTATACTTTAGCTATACATGCATCTACTAAGATATATTTCAACATGTAAATGAAAACATGATTTGCTTTATACAAATGTGCAACCATGGCCTCTGTTTGGCTAAGACATTTTGGACTTCCTCTTAAGAACCACTGGGTGGATCATGTTCAAACTTGGTACAGATGTTTTACACACGGCCCTGCACAAGTGTTGTTACATTTTTGCAACATTTTAAAATCCCCAGATTATTGACATATATTCCTCAGGTGACCGTTAATGCCCCTTGGGCCTCTTGTTACTAATAGTGAATAATATAGAGAATACATGGTCAGTGTCTTCAAATATAAGCTGTACTTTGGCGAAAGTGAAGAAAGACAAAAATGGCGAGTCACTTTTGTCTTTCTGTCCTTTTATCCTGCAACTTTGATTGATAATCAGACTATTGAGACTTAAACAGTTTTGTCGTTCAGTCTGTGTTTACCTGACATTGACGTTACGCTGAATTTTGCCTGATGACGCGTGTACGAACGCCAAAATAAGCAGAGTTCCAAACTTCATCGGATATAACAGCGATTTTATGAATTTTCATTAATCAACATGTTCATTACAACATGTAAAATCGCTTATTTCAACAACTGTTATATTTCTGAACGTAATATTTAAGTAAATTCAGAGAGTAAGTCTGTCGAATTACACGCATGTGCTAAAACACAGTTGTTTCCCGCCACTGCCGAATACAGCCAAAATATATGTGACAGGTTTATTCCGACACCGGCAGCACCAGTTACAGTCTAAATCCTGATTGTCTGTAGCTGTCTATACCGCTGGTAACCCTAATTATACAGCACCAGTAACAGGGAAAATCCTGATTGTCTGTGTCTATACCGATGGTAACCCTAACTATCCAGCACCAGTTACAGGCTAAATCCTGGTTGTCTGTAGCTGTCTATACCGATGGTAACCCTGAATTTCCAGCACCAGTTACAGGCTAAATCCTGATTGTCTGTATCTGTCTATACCGATGGTAACCCTAATTATCCAGCACCAGTTACAGGGAAAATCCTGATTGTCTGTAGATGTCTATACAGTTACAGGCTAAATCCTGGTTGTCTGTAACTGTCTATACCGCTGGTAACCCTAACTATCCAGCACCAGTTAAATCCTGATTGTCTGTATCTGTCTATACCGATGGTAACCCTAATTATCCAGCACCAGTTACAGGGAAAATCCTGATTGTCTGTAGATGTCTATACAGTTACAGGCTAAATCCTGGTTGTCTGTAACTGTCTATACCGCTGGTAACCCTAACTATCCAGCACCAGTTAAATCCTGATTGTCTGTAGCTCTCTATACCGATGGTAACCCTAATTATCCAGCACCAGTTACAGGCTAAATCCTGATTGTCTGTAGATGTCTATACAGTTACAGGAAAAATCCTGGTTGTTTGTAGATGTCTATACAATTACAGACTAAATCCTGGTTGTCTGTAACTGTCTATACCGATGGTAACCCTAACTATCCAGCACCAGTTAAATCCTGGTTGTCTGTAGCTGTCTATACAGTTACAGGCTAAATCCTGGTTGTCTGTAACTGTCTATACCGATGGTAACCCTAACTATCCAGCACCAGTTAAATTCTGGTTGTCTGTAGCTGTCTATACAGTTACAGGCTAAATCCTGGTTGTCTGTAACTGTCTATACCGATGGTAACCCTAACTATCCAGCACCAGTTAAATCCTGGTTGTCTGTAACTGTCTATACCGATGGTAACCCTAACTACCCAGCACCAGTTAAATCCTGGTTGTCTGTAACTGTCTATACCGATGGTAACCCTAACTATCCAGCACCAGTTAAATCCTGATTGTCTGTAGATGTCTATACAGTTACAGGCTAAATCCTGATCGTCTCTAACTGTCTATACCGATGGTAACCCTAACTATCCAGCACCAGTTACAGGAAAAATCCTGATTGTCTGTAGCTGTCTTTACCGATGGTAACCCTAACTATACAGCACCAGTTACAGGAAAAATCCTGATTGTCTGTAGATGTCTATACAGTTACAGGCTAAATCCTGGTTGTCTGTAGCTGTCTATACAGATGGTATCCCTGATTTTCCAGCACCAGTTACAGGAAAAATCCTGATTGTCTGTAGATGTCTATACAGTTACAGGCTAAATCCTGGTTGTCTGTAGCTGTTTATACCGATGGTAACCCTAACTATACAGCACCAGTTACAGGCTAAATCCTGATTGTCTGTAGATGTCTTTACCGATGGTTACCCTAACTATCCAGCACCAGTTACAGGGAAAATCCTGATTGTCTGTAACTGTCTATACCGATGGTTACCCTAACTATCCAGCACCAGTTACAGGGAAAATCCTGGTTGTCAGTAAATGTCTATACAGATGGTAACCCTAACTATTCACAATGTTAGTTCTTAGTTTCAGAATATCTCTGAGTTTTACTTATCTCTCCATAACAGATGTAGGTAAAGTTTATCATCTTCGTCACGTATGTAAATGATACTGTTAGGTGTCAAAACCTCTGTGATGTATAACATCGATACAATATATTATTGTATTTACAAATGTAGGTGCATTGTTATGTGCATGAAATGTTTGATCTCTCTCGGAATTTGAACGTGTAATGGATCATTACATAGCTAATTCAAGTGTTAATACAATATTAGTGAATACCACAAGTAATATGTATGTTAAAGGTAAAAAAAATATGATAAATTGTCCTTATATACCAGGACGTCGGACATCATACTACACCATAGTGTGAATGTTAGAGTAATCCATTAAAACGGAAAACATTCTACTAAAGTGATTCTACCAAGAAAATGAGTGATGTCACCAGACACTGTGATTCATCTGCTAGAAATCTGGAAGGATACGAGGAGTTTACAACAAACACATCCTGTATGTGACGAAGGCCTGAATTAAAGAAATACTGATGTTAAAATGACGACGAAAATTTGTCAAAATTTCACAAATCATCTGTTGAAATAAAGGAAATAAAATGTAGATGTAAACCAATATTAAAATAAATTTACATCAATAAGTAAATCCCCGGACCTCATCAGTCGGCGGTATATGACCTGATCAGTCGGCAGTGTATGACCTGATCAGTCGGCAGTGTATGATCTAATCAGTCGGCGATGTATGACCTGATCAGTCGGCGGTGTATGACCTGATCAGTCGGCAGTGTATGACCTGATCAGTCGGCGATGTATGACCTGATCAGTCGGCGGTGTATGACCTGATCAGTCGGCGGTATATGTCCTGATATGTCGCGGTGTATGACCTGATCAGTCGGCGGTATATGACCTGATCAGTCGGCAGTGTATGACCTGATCAGTCGGTGGTGTATGACCTGATCAGTCGGCTGTGTATGTCCTGATCAGTCGGCGGTGTATGTCCTGATCAGTCGGCGATGCATGACCTAATCAGTCGGCGGTGTATGACCAAATCAGTCGGCAGTGTATGACCTGATCAGTCGGCTATGTATAATGTCTTCCCCGATTATCAGTATGAAATCACTTAACAGCATGGCTACCTTCCTTATGTCGCTAAAGTCAATCCGAACGGTACACGGTTCTCAATCTTGATGATAGATCTTGATGTACTCTTACGCCTGTCATAAATAAGGTATCTGGTATTTTTTGATGTTTGTCACGTTCAACGAGATAAACAAAAGTCTCACACCCTTATTTATAAAATAGTTCCGAAATGTCATCTGTCAACATCACAACACACACATTACCGTCCATCCATCACCTTAGCTACACGTTATTTCAATGTCATGACGTCATGACCCACGAACACAATCTTAATTTGACTGGAACTGACCTCGATAAAGAGGACATTGAAAGCAGCCGATACTATCAGACATACCCCGCGTTAAATCTGTATATAGGTTACTTAAAGTCGATGATCAAATGTGTTCAAAATAAATAATTAGTGATTCTTCTATTCCGTTATACTCAAATAGATTAATATTCACAGTGAAGGATATCGTAAAGATGTTGAGTGGTTGAGAAATATGTGATCTTTCAGGACATACCTCACCAATCTACTGATAACTGTTCCTCCGATGTGTCATCATATAACAGGATGCTCGCGACAGTCCATTTGTCAAAAAGAGATTAAAGAAAAGTCGTCCATCCATTAAATTGAGATTATTTAAAACAATGGTTACGACAGACCATACCGCAAATACCGACTTAATTACAAAATAGTGGCCACTGTCCATGTCTAAATATAGATTAAATAACAGGATGTTCACGAAAGTGACTAATAAGGCTCCGGTTCTAGTACAGGACAGTAAGACGGCTGTCAGTGTAGACATTAATGAGGCTCCGGTCCTAGTACAGGACAGTACGACGGTTGTCAGTGTAGTCACTAATGAGGCTCCGGATCTAGTACAGGACAGTACGACGGTTGTCAGTGTAGTCATTAATGAGGCTCCGGTTCTAATACAGGACAGTACGACGGTTGTCAGTGTAGTCACTAATGAGAGTCTGGTTCTAGTACAGGACAGTACGACGGTTGTCAGTGTAGTCATTAATGAGGCTCCGGTCCTAGTACAGGACAGTACGACGGTTGTCAGTGTAGTCACTAATGAGAGTCTGGTTCTAGTACAGGACAGTACGACGGTTGTCAGTGTAGTCACTAATGAGAGTCCGGTTCTAGTACAGGACAGTACGACGGTTGTCAGTGTAGTCACTAATGAGGCTCCGGTTCTAGTACAGGACAGTACGACGGTTGTCAGTGTAGTCATTAATGAGGCTCCGGTCCTAGTACAGGACAGTACGACGGTTGTCAGTGTAGTCACTAATGAGAGTCTGGTTCTAGTACAGGACAGTACGACGGTTGTCAGTGTAGTCATTAATGAGGCTCCGGTCCTAGTACAGGACAGTACGACGGTTGTCAGTGTAGTCATTAATGAGGCTCCGGTCCTAGTACAGGACAGTACGACGGTTGTCAGTGTAGTCATTAATGAGGCTCCGGTCCTAGTACAGGACAGTACGACGGTTGTCAGTGTAGTCATTAATGAGGCTCCGGTCCTAGCACAGGACAGTACGACGGTTGTCAGTGTAGTCATTAATGAGAGTCTGGTTCTAGTACAGGACAGTACGACGGTTGTCAGTGTAGTCACTAATGAGGCTCCGGTTCTAGTACAGGACAGTACGACGGTTGTCAGTGTAGTCATTAATGAGGCTCCGGTCCTAGTACAGGACAGTACGACGGTTGTCAGTGTAGTCATTAATGAGGCTCCGGTCCTAGTACAGGACAGTACGACGGTTGTCAGTGTAGTCATTAATGAGGCTCCGGTCCTAGTACAGGACAGTACGACGGTTGTCAGTGTAGTCATTAATGAGGCTCCGGTCCTAGCACAGGACAGTACGACGGTTGTCAGTGTAGTCATTAATGAGGCTCCGGTCCTAGTACAGGACAGTACGACGGTTGTCAGTGTAGTCATTAATGAGGCTCCGGTCCTAGCACAGGACAGTACGACGGTTGTCAGTGTAGTCACTAATGAGAGTCTGGTTCTAGTACAGGACAGTACGACGGTTGTCAGTGTAGTCATTAATGAGGCTCCGGTCCTAGTACAGGACAGTACGACGGTTGTCAGTGTAGTCACTAATGAGGCTCCGGTCCTAGCACAGGACAGTACGACGGTTGTCAGTGTAGTCACTAATGAGAGTCTGGTTCTAATACAGGACAGTACGAAGGTTGTCAGTGTAGTCACTGATGAGAGTCCGGTCCTAGCACAGGACAGTACGACGGTTGTCAGTGTAGTCACTAATGAGGCTCCGGTCCTAGCACAGGACAGTACGACGGTTGTCAGTGTAGTCACTAATGAGAGTCTGGTTCTAATACAGGACAGTACGAAGGTTGTCAGTGTAGTCACTGATGAGAGTCCGGTCCTAGCACAGGACAGTACGACGGTTGTCAGTGTAGTCACTAATGAGAGTCTGGTTCTAGTACAGGACAGTACGACGGTTGTCAGTGTAGTCACTAATGAGGCTCCGGTTCTAGTACAGGACAGTACGACACTGATTACCGCGTTTCACCTTGTTACACAGATTACTATGTTACATCTGTTACACAGATTACTGTGATAAACAGATTACCGTGTTAGATCCTGTTACACAGATTACCGTGTTACACAGATTACCGTGTTAGATCCTGTTACACAGATTACCCTGTTACACAGATTACCGTGTTAGATCCTGTTACACAGATTACCGTGTTAGATCCTGTTACACAGATTACCGTGTTACACAGATTACCGTGTTAGATCCTGTTACACAGATTACCCTGTTACACAGATTACCGTGTTAGATCCTGTTACACAGATTACCGTGTTAGATCCTGTTACACAGATTACCGTGTTAGATCCTGTTACACAGATTACCGTGTTAGATCCTGTTACACAGATTACCGTGTTAGATCCTGTTACACAGATTACCGTGTTAGATCCTGTTACACAGATTACCGTGTTAAACCATGTTACACAGATTACCGTGTTAGATCCTGTTACACAGATTACCGTGTTACATCCTGTTACACAGATTACCGTGTTAGATCCTGTTACACAGATTACCGTGTTAGATCCTGTTACACAGATTTCCGTGTTACATCCTGTTACACAGATTACCGTGTTAGATCCTGTTACACAGATTACCGTGTTACACAGATTACCGTGTTAGATCCTGTTACACAGATTACCCTGTTACACAGATTACCGTGTTAGATCCTGTTACACAGATTACCGTGTTAGATCCTGTTACACAGATTACCGTGTTACACAGATTACCGTGTTAGATCCTGTTACACAGATTACCCTGTTACACAGATTACCGTGTTAGATCCTGTTACACAGATTACCGTGTTACATCCTGTTACACAGATTACCGTGTTAGATCCTGTTACACAGATTACCGTGTTACATCCTGTTACACAGATTACCGTGTTAGATCCTGTTACACAGATTACCGTGTTAGATCCTGTTACACAGATTACCGTGTTAGGTCCTGTTACACAGATTACCGTGTTAGATCCTGTTACACAGGTGACCATGTTACGGTGTCAGTGTCTTGGGACAAGAACAGTCAGGATAGTATGTTGACAGGTGTCCTACGTGACAGGTGTCCTATGGGACAGGAACAGCCAGGGTAGGATGTTGACAGGAGACCTATGGGACAGGAACAGCCAGGGTAGGATGTTGGCAGGTGTCCTATGGGACAGGAACAGTCAGGGTAGGATGTTGGCAGGTGTCCCATGGGACAGGAACAGTCAAGGTAGGATGTTGGCAGGTGACCTATGGGACAGGAACAGTCAGGATAGGATGTTGGCAGGTGTCCTATGGGACAGGAACAGTCAGGGTAGGATGTTGGCAGGTGTCCTATGGGACAGGAACAGTCAGGGTAGGATGTTGGCAGGTGTCCTATGGGACAGGAACAGTCAGGGTAGGATGTTGTCAGGTGTCCTATGGGACAGGAACAGTCAGGGTAGGATGTTGACAAGTGTCCTATGGGACAGGAACAGTCAGGGTAGGATGTTGACAGGTGTCCTATGGGACAGGAACAGTCAGGGTAGGATGTTGGCAGGTGTCCTATGGGACAGGAACAGTCAGGGTAGGATGTTGACAGGTGTCCTTCGTGACAAGTGCCCTATGGGACAGTAACAGTCAGGGTAGGATGTTGACAGGTGTCCTATGGGACAGGAACAGTCAGGGTAGGATGTTGACAGGTGTCCTATGGGACAGGAACAGTCAGGGTAGGATGTTGACAGGTGTCCTTTGGGACAGTAACAGTCAGGGTAGGATGTTGACAGGTGTCCTTCGTGACAAGTGTCCTATGGGACAGTAACAGTCAGGGTAGGATGTTGGCAGGTGTCCTATGGGACAGGAACAGTCAGGGTAGGATGTTGACAGGTGTCCTATGGGACAGGAACAGTCAGGATAGGATGTTGACAGGTGTCCTTTGGGACAGTAACAGTCAGGGTAGGATGTTGACAGGTGTCCTTCGTGACAAGTGTCCTATGGGACAGTAACAGTCAGGGTGTCCTAGGATGTTGGCAGGTGTCCTATGGGACAGGAACAGTCAGGGTAGGATGTTGACAGGTGTCCTTTGGGACAGTAACAGTCAGGGTAGGATGTTGACAGGTGTCCTTCGTGACAAGTGTCCTATGGGACAGTAACAGTCAGGGTAGGATGTTGACAGGTGTCCTATGGGACAGGAACAGTCAGGGTAGGATGTTGACAGGTGTCCTATGGGACAGGAACAGTCAGGGTAGGATGTTGACAGGTGTCCTTTGGGACAGTAACAGTCAGGGTAGGATGTTGACATGTGTCCTTCGTGACAAGTGTCCTATGGGACAGTAACAGTCAGGGTAGGATGTTGGCAGGTGTCCTATGGGACAGGAACAGTCAGGGTAGGATGTTGACAGGTGTCCTATGGGACAGGAACAGTCAGGATAGGATGTTGACAGGTGTCATTTGGGACAGTAACAGTCAGGGTAGGATGTTGACAGGTGTCCTTCGTGACAAGTGTCCTATGGGACAGTAACAGTCAGGGTAGGATGTTGGCAGGTGTCCAATGGGACAGGAACAGTCAGGGTAGGATGTTGACAGGTGTCCTATGGGACAGGAACAGTCAGGGTAGGTGTCCTATCATCATTTGAGGTCGGGTGTCCATGAAGACGACAATAACTGATGCCATAATTTGGTAGAATCAGTTGATTGAGAGAAATATCGGTATTAGTTAGAAAACATAAAAAAAACGGTTATATCTTCACTTTTAATCTGGTATTACTGTAAAGATATCGTATATTCTGATGGAATTTAACCTGATGATGTGTTACAGGTGTGAAGTTGGACTCAGATATGGTACAGGTTAAACAAACAAGAATCCTGTTTTTGCCACCATTTCAAAAGAAAATGTTATTATTGAATAAGTTGACATTTACATGATTCACAACCTTCCTGTCATTAAATTATATTATCAAAATCATACTCGTTATTTCTCGATAAATTAGTGAAGGGGAGACAACTCTCTTGTGATTTTGTGATTAAACTTATCTACCACTGTTACTTATTCTGACAACAATATGAACGTTACATCTAAAAGGAACCTGAAATTAAGTCAGTATTGAAGTATGTTGTATTTAGAGTATTCCTACGAGGCGGTATAAACCATTCCTAGCGAGAAAAACTATTCATTTAGCGATTGATAAATTATCATTCAGACAGTATAGAACCGAGAAGAGGGGGCTATAAACATGAAAATCAATTACATTTTATATAGTTTCATCCATATTTTGATCAAAATCATGTTTATATTTGTATTTGTAAATGAATGATACTTATTAAAGTGACCTTTTTAATTTGTGTCCTTAATGTGAACCACACAATAAAAATCTGGTATTGCCTTGTACGTATCTGTATGTTGACAGTGGGTCGAGATTTTACAAACTTCTCAGTGTTGTTAATATTCCATTACTTACTGTATATAGAGAGGGTATACATGTCTATACTACGTCAGTGAAAAGTCCCCATATACATACACCCGTCAGAGTAAGACCGATCCTTACCCACAATATTTTGATTAAACATTGATTCATTGACTTAACGCCGTGACGAAGTGGACACTGACCACTAAGTACGTCACTGGTAACCTGTATATATACGTGACACGACAGCCGTAATGGATTTCCATTATAGATCTAACAATTCAATGATTGTTTACCAATCTTCTGTAACGGTACTTATACAGAAGGGCTTGGATTCTAGTCAAACACTTCTACTATATGGTCAGGAGCCGTCCTGTATGTCAATATATATGTTTCACATATACAATGGACGAACAGACGGAAAGATTTATATTATATGGTCACGGACCGTCCTGTAGTTCTATATCAATATGTATCACATATACAAAAGACGAACAGACGGAAAGTTTTATATTTTATGGTCACGGACCGTCCTGTAGGTCTATATCAATTTGTAACACATATACAAAGGTCGAACAGACGGAAAGATTTATATTATATGGTCACGGACCGTCCTGTAGGTCTATATCAATATGTAACACATATACAATGGACGAACAGACGGAAAGATTTATATTATATGGTCACGGGCCGTCCTGTAGGTCTATATCAATATGTAACACATATACAATGGACGAACAGACGGAAAGATTTATATTATATGGTCATGGGCCGTCCTGTAGGTCTATATCAATATGTATCACATATACAATGGACGAACAGACGGAAAGATTTATATTATATGGTCATGGGCCGTCCTGTAGGTCTATATCAATATGTATCACATATACAATGGACGAACAGACGGAAAGATTTATATTATATGGTCACGGGCCGTCCTGTAGGTCAACATCAATATGTATCACATATACAATGGACGAACAGACGGAAAGATTTATATAATATGGTAACGGACCGTCCTATAGTTCTATATCAATATGTATCACATATACAATGGACGAACAGACGGAAAGATTTATATTATATGGTCACGGGCCGTCCTGTAGGTCTACATCGATATGTATTACATGTACAATGGACGAACAGACGGAAAGATTTATATAATATGGTAACGGACCGTCCTATAGTTATATATCAATTTGTAACACATATACAATGGACGAACAGACGGAAAGATTTATATTATATGGTAACGGACCGTCCTGTAAGTTCTATATCAATATGTATCACATATACAAAAGACGAACAGACGGAAAGATTTATATAATATGGTCATGGGCCGTCCTGTAGGTCTATATCAGTATATAACACATTTCCAATGGACGAACAGACGGAAAGATTTATATAATATGGTCATGGGCCGTCCTGTAGGTCTATATCAGTATATAACACATTTCCAATGGACGAACAGACAGATAGAAGTCTGAGATCGTCGATACTTCATTCATACTTAGTTCTCTCAAGCATTAATGTTCTTCCTACTAGTTTTGATAAGGGATGGTCGGTATGGATTATACGTCCCTGTATTTCAACCCTCCATATTGAGCCTTTTGTAGCCTTTGCCAGATAAGTTTCTATGAACTTAGGCAGTTGTCCTTTGTGTTGAACACAAACTGTAATCGTTATTAATATCAATGCTAATTACAAATATGTAGCGACTGATTCAGCTGTACGGGTCCTTGATACAAACAGTGATTGGTTTTTATTTTTAGAAATAATTAATGACATTTTTCAACCTCTACGGTTAATGTGTAATTAAGGAATAACATACTGGTAGCACAGTGGCAAAGTTCACACTATCGGGTCTAGAAAAAGTCTGGGTCGAATGCTCATAGCGTCAGGTATATTTTTTATGGAAGGGAGACCATATTGTTTTTTTCTATTTTTATTTCATAAGAACAGGTATTCCGGAAGAGTAAGCGTCTTCTGCTTCATCCACGACACCTGCAAACATTGGTCAATCCAAGTAACGTCACGTTCTGTAATGAGAACAAGGTACACAACAACGGAACCAACAGGCACACTGGCAAGCACAAATACGTCCAGCGTCATGTCGTACAAAGAAATATAACAGTAAAACTTCTCCATAATTTTTTAATCCTTGTGTTACGAGTTTGTCAGTCAGTTGACGACTTCTTGCACGAAAATCGTGATAATGGGGGCCAGGTTCTTGAACGTCGAATCAACTGTGACATGTAAATATCATAGGTTGGAGATGCAGGAGTTTTGCTATCCAGAAATGGAAAATTCACAATAGGGAAATTAAAATCATCACATTTATCATACATCTTGATGGAAAGCTGTCCATGTTGGTTTCGTTGTAGGAAAAGATCGAGATAAGCAGCTGATGTAGAAGAGTATGTCGTATCTTTGATTTCCGGTTCTGTGGATATACGATTGATGTAGTCAATGAATTTCTTGTTATTATGAGACAAGACGTCATTAGCATATCTGAAGGTGAAGTTAAACGACTTTGCAAGGTGTTACCTGTTTTGATACGCTCTTCAATAAATTCAACCGTGTATGAAAACAAGAACACGTTAGCCAACAGAGGGGTGCAGTTGGTTCCCATAGGCATGTCAATAATCTGTTGGAATATCTAACCACTCGATTTTACGAAATACGCTTCACAACCATATATTCACTCCGCCGTTCACCTTTTTTGGAGAAGAACGATTTCATAACAAGAGGTTCCGTCAGATTAGAATGAGGTATGGTAGTGTACATGATGGAAAAATCAACCTGTTTCCACGAGAAATAGTTTTAATCACAATGGAAATCGCTTATTTATCTCACGAATACTATAGTTAACTCGTTTAAGCTACAGCAATAAACCTTTGACCGTCGTTATTGCACAGCTAATTTAACACCTTGGAGTGTCCTTAGATCTCGGACAACTGGTGACGTCTGTTGTCCTGCGTGGTTATATTTACCTGTGTATACACACTCTGAACGACAACCATTAAAACACTTGACATTACCATACCTACTGTGTGTCGGTGCCAAGCTTACTGTTTGTCGGCACCAAACCTACTGTGTGCAGACCTACTGTGTGTCGGTACCAGACCTACTGTGTGTCGGTACCAAGCTTACTGTGTGTCGGTACCGGACCTACTGTGTGCAGACCTACTGTATGTCGGTACCAAGCTTACTGTGTGTCAGTACCAGACCTACTGTGTACCAGACCTACTGTATGTCGGTACCAAGCTTACTGTGTGTCAGTACCAGACCTACTGTGTGTCAGTACCAGACCTACTGTGTGTCGGTACCAAGCTTACTGTGTGTCACCGTGTACCAGCCGCTACTGACACGTGGAGATATGGCTCTTGGTTTTACACAAGAAAATAATGTATTGAGATTTGTTTTGATATCAGATTGTTTTTGAAGATTAAAAAGGTGACCCGTTAACTGTGAATCATGTGTACGACATACCTGTATATGTTCCTCGGGAGTGTGTGTATGCCGTCCAAGTGATCACCATGGCTCACACTAACCGATGATCGGAGATGACTGACACTAACCGATGATCGGAGATGACTGACACTAACCGATGATCGGAGATGACTGACACTAACTGTGGTGAGTTTTTTTTATATTGACCATCAATTTAGTAGGTAATAACGATATTTTTGTTGTCTGTAGTCACGGCAATGGCATTCATTGGCGGGTTTCTCAATCCAAAATCAGATTTTCCTGTCGTTGTTTAAAACATCATATATACAGTGTAACACATTGTTGTTTAAAACAGCATATATTTTTTATGATACAGCAAAACACCAGGAGTGTTTATATCACAGTTAATTATTACAGCTTAACACCAGGACTGTTTATATCACAGTTAATTACGATACAGCTAAACACCAGGACTGTTTATATCACAGTTAATTATTACAGCTTAACACCAGGACTGTATATATCACAGTTAATTATTACAGCTAAACACCAGGACTGTTTATATCACAGTTAATTATTACAGCTTAACACCAGGACTGTATATATCACAGTTAATTATTACAGCTAAACACCAGGACTGTTTATATCACAGTTAATTATTACAGCTAAACACCAGGACTGTTTATATCACAGTTAATTATTACAGCTAAACACCAGGACTGTTTATATCACAGTTAATTATTACAGCTAAACACCAGGACTGTTTATATCACAGTTAATTACGATACAGCTAAACACCAGGACTGTTTATATCACAGTTAATTATTACAGCTAAACACCAGGACTGTGTATATCACAGTTAATTACGATACAGCTAAACACCAGGACTGTTTATATCACAGTTAATTATTACAGCTAAACACCAGGACTGTTTATATCACAGTTAATTATAATACAGCTTAACACCAGGACTGTGTATATCACAGTTAATTACGATACAGCTAAACACCAGGACTGTTTATATCACAGTTAATTACGATACAGCTTAACACCAGGACTGTTTATATCACAGTTAATTATTACAGCTAAACACCAGGACTGTGTATATCACAGTTAATTACGATACAGCTAAACACCAGGACTGTTTATATCACAGTTAATTACGATACAGCTTAACACCAGGACTGTTTATATCACAGTTAATTATTACAGCTAAACACCAGGACTGTTTATATCACAGTTAATTACGATACAGCTTAACACCAGGACAGTTTATATCACAGTTAATTATGATACATCTTAACACCAGGACTGTATATATCACAGTTAATTACGATACAGCTTAACACCAGGACTGTGTATATCACAGTTAATTATTACAGCTAAACACCAGGACTGTTTATATCACAGTTAATTACGATACAGCTTAACAATAGGACTGTGTATATCACAGTTAATTATTACAGCTAAACACCAGGACTGTATATATCACAGTTAATTATAATACAGCTAAACACCAGGACTGTATATATCACAGTTAATTATAATACAGCTAAACACCAGGACTGTATATATCACAGTTAATTACGATACAGCTTAACAATAGGACTGTTTATATCACAGTTAATTATTACAGCTAAACACCAGGACTGTTTATATCAACTAAACATTTCTTAATATTACACTTTAACTTATATCACAGTTAATTATTACAGCTAAACACCAGGACTGTTTATATATCAATTATAAACAGTAAACACCAAACCTCCTCCGTTTAATCCTAAACAAACATATCACGGTAAGTAGCTTAACACCAGGACTGTTTCATATCACAGTTAATTATTACAGCTCACATGTTGTTTATATCACAGTTAATTATAATACAGCTAAACACATGTCAGGACTGTGTATATCACAGTTAATTATGTCATACAGCTTCATGTCACTTTTATCAGGACTGTGTATATCACATTTAATTATTTGTTATGAAACATGTGTCTAAAACACCAGGACTGTTTATATCACAGTTAATTATTACAGCTAAACATGCCAGGACTGTGTATATCACAGTTAATTACGATATATTAACACCAGTTGTACTGTTTATATCACAGTTAATTATTACAGCCACCAGGACTTTTATATATTACAGTTAATTACTGATACAGCTTAATATATAGGACTGTTGTATATCACAGTTAATTATTACAGCTAAACACCAGGACTGTTTATATCACAGTTAATATATTACACCTGTTGTACCTTGTGAATTTTGATATATAACACCTGTTGTAACTTGTGACTATTTTTATATATAACAACTAAACATTTCTTAATATTACACTTTAACTTATTGTGGGATTCTATCTTCTCAGCACCTGGATCTGTTGCATGATGCATCAAAATAAAGTACAACCCAAACCTCCTCCGTCACGTGACCCTAATGGCCTAAACAAACATATCACGGTAAGTAGGAAACACGTCATCTTTTCATCATCGTCATGTCACGTCTCATATGTCGTCATGTCACGTCTCACATGTTGTCATGTCACGTCTCACATGTTGTCATGTCACGTCTCACATGTCGTCATGTCACGTCTGATATGTCGTCATGTCACGTCTCACATGTCGTCGTGTCACGTCTCACATGTCGTCATGTCACGTCTCACATATCGTCATGTCACGTCTCATATGTCGTCATGTCACGCCTCACATGTTGTCATGTCACGTCTCACATATCGTCATGTCACGTCTCACATGTTGTACGTGACTGTGATATTATGTATATTACACATATCGTCATGTCACGTCTTTTTTTTTATATATGTCACGTTGTCACATGTTGTGATATTTTTATATCACACCTGTTGCACCTTGTGACATGTTTGTGACATGTATATTACACCTGTTGTACCTTGTGACTGTGATATTTTGATATATTACACCTGTTGTACCGTGTGACTGTGATATTTTTATATATTACACCTGTTGTACCTTGTGACTGTGATAATTTGATATATCACACCTGTTGTACCTTGTGACTGTGATATTTTGATATATTACACCTGTTGTACCTTGTGACTGTGATATTTTGATATATTACACCTGTTGTACGTTGTGACTGTGATTTTTTATATATTACACCTGTTGTACCTTGTGACTGTGATATTTTGTATATTATGTTGTAACGCTTTTCATTATATAACACCTGTTGTACATATGTGACGCTGTGATATGTGATATTTTGATATATTACACCTGTTGTACGTTGTGACTGTGATATTTTGATATATTACACCTGTTGTACCTTGTGACTGATAATTTGATATATCACACCTGTTGTACCTTGTGACTGTGATATTTTGATATATTACACCTGTTGTACGTTGTGACTGTGATATTTTGATATATTACACCTGTTGTACCTTGTGACTGTGATATTTTGATATATTACACCTGTTGTACCTTGTGACTGTGATATTTTGATATATTACACCTGTTGTACCTTGTGACTGTGATATTTTTTATATATTACACCTGTGGTACGTTGTGACTGTGATATTTTGATATATATATTTTTTTATTTATTTTTTTTTCTATTCAGATCCACTTTCATGACATTCTAGCTGAGCAGAAATCACCAGAGAGCCTCGATATCGTTTGGGACTGTTCGGAAATATGTTACTCATGTTGTTCGACTCTTTGTTACGGTCTCCTCACCGTCTTTACTGGTCCATGCATCGCCAGCGCTTGGGCCTGCCAGTTTGCCTACATCGCCTTTGCGCATGTCTGGTGCCTTAGTCCAATCCTACTGAACACGAGGCTTTGTATGTTCGACTGTTTACAGCGATGTGTTCGGTATGTACTAAACTGCTGTATTGTACCATGGACAAACGCATGCGGAGGCTTTTTCCATCTGTGTCCAGTGAAACGGAAACCCGCTCCAGAACCACAGGAAGCTCCACCTCCGCAGCTCATTATTATACCCCCCAAAAAGGATGTTTCTAAAACTATACAGCGACAACTGGCTCTATTCTTACGATAGTGGACCCAATGGAAAAAGTTGAAACTCAAAACTTTACTGGACATTTCTCAGTAATTTTAGATGTCATCAGACCAATTTATCCTTCAATAAAGAGCACGTGTCAGGTAAATGTGGAACTGGACACAAGTTACACAACCGTGGTTTATACAAGGTAGAATAACTGACTGACAAAAGTGTAAGATATATGGTACCACAGAAGTTACACAACCGTGGTTTATACTTGGTAGGATAAGTGACTGACAAAAGTGTAAGATATCTGGTACCACAGAAGTTACACAACCGTGGTTTATACCAGGTAGAATAAGTGACTGACAAAAGTGTTATATATCTGGTACCACAGAAGTTACACAACCGTGGTTTATACAAGGTAGAATAAGTGACTGACAAAAGTGTTATATATCTGGTATGTACCACAGAAGTTACACAACCGTGGTTTATACCAGGTAGAATAAGTGACTGACAAAAGTGTTATATATCTGGTATGTACCACAGAAGTTACACAACCGTGTTTTATACCAGGTAGAATAAGTGACTGACAAAAGTGTTATATATCTTGTATGTACCACAGAAGTTACACAACCGTGGTTTATACCAGGTAGAATAAGTGACTGACAAAAGTGTTATATATCTGGTATGTACCACAGAAGTTACACAACCGTGTTTTATACCAGGTAGAATAAGTGACTGACAAAAGTGTTATATATCTGGTACCACAGAAGTTACACAACCGTGGTTTATACCTGGTAGAATACGTGACTGACAAAAGTGTAAGGTATCTGGTACCACAGAAGTTACACAACCTCGGTTTATACCAGGAAGAATAAGTGACTGATAAAAGTGTGAGATATCTGGTACCACAGAAGCAATCCATTTAGTATTTATAAAGTAAAACCAGGTGGACGCAGCCTCGCTTCCAAGTATGACGTCATTTGTTTCGTCAGAATCTCACAATCTGTGCACGATGCACCAGATATATGGGCGTAACAGAACGCCGCTCTTTTTCACGAAGGACTAGTAAGCTGACAGTAACAGATCTTTGAACAGAATTCACTGAAAGTTGAGGGAGCGAATTATTTCATTTATATAGTTATATCAAAAGAAGAATAATGGTAAGTGCTTAAATGAACGTCATCATAAGGCCCTAGCGAGATAGACATGATCATTATTATCAGCTTTTCCTTCCTTAATCAAGGTATATACGATCGATCATGGCTTACATTTTTCAATATGAAAGCCTATCGAAAATTGGAAAATGATTTCAGGAAATTATACTTGTAATTTAATATAGTTCTTGCATTTGAATTTACATACAAAAGTATTGGTAATGGACGATCTATTTTGAGCTGTCACTTTTTTAGAGTGTTTATGTAAATATATTCAATATTGTCTGTGTTATTATCATTGTATCAATCATGTGATTCATCTCATGAACAAAGGTAGATAGGTTTTGATGAAATATGTACATAAAGAGATCAATTAATAATTATAATAAGGAAAAATTCTTGTCTTTTGATCAACAGTCTGGATATGTAATTTTCTGCGTCATATATGATTACGCATGCGCACAAAACGTCGTCTGAAAACAAAAATGGCTTCCCGCCTAAATCGGTTGACGATCAATGTTACTTATTTCGCTACTCTGAATTGACTTAGAGTTATCAAATAGAATTTGCCACACTCTTAACAAAATCCGAAAAATTTTGCTGTGTCACTACTGCCGCTGTCATGTCTCATGGGTTCGTGTTCACAAAATGAACTACCACGTTTTCAAAATTATCACATGACATTATCATCGCTGAGAGGGGTTTCCCGAAAAATGATCACATGACGTTAGCAGCGCTGAGAGGGGTTTCCCGAAAAATTATCGCATGACGTCAGCAGCGCTGAGAGGGGTTTCCCGCACCAAAGAAGTGGTCAGGTAGGACACAATCAACAACAATATCAATTTTTTCTGCTATATCCCTGAAAGTGAGTTTTCATTGCCTAGGAAATTTTATGAAACTTTTGAAGTTAAAATTAAAACAAATTTCAGACATTTTTTATCAAATGACTGAGAAATGATACATTTGGATAGGCTTTGAAGTCACTCTGTGGAGGATAAAATCAAACATAAGCAGCCATATTGTTTCGCTATTTTCGACTCATTGGGTAACCATCCATATATGTATTATGACGTCACAACTGATTTCCGACAGGTGCAGCCAATGAAAACACTCTAGGGTACATTGTACATTACGCTGGTCACATATACGCAAAATAATTACAAGGGCGAAATCACCGAGTTACAGGCTATGTGATAAATAATTTTAATTAACAAAGTGTATATCTGTATGTAAATGATACCGATTCTATCTGTGATATAAAAATATTCCGTGTAAATTGTCTACAAACATGTTTATTATATATTATACTTATTGATATGTAACATATAAGTTATCAAACATCTGTCTGTGATTAACATATTTATAATACTGACCTGCACGTTTTTATGTGCTAATGTTTGTTGTTATTAGAAAAAAGACAATAAAATTCAGAATGACTCGGATAATATCTTTTGGTTTTAACTTCTCCCAGCTGACTGATTAGAACATCCTGTCACCATCTCCAAGTTGACTGTGACTAGAACATCCTGTCACCATCTCCCAGCTGACTGTGATTAGAACATCCTGTCACCATCTCCCAGCTGACTGTGATTAGAACATCCTGTCACCATCTCCAAGTTGACTGTGACTAGAACATCCTGTCACCATATATCAGTTGACTGTGATTAGAACATCCTGTCACCATCTCCCAGCTGACTGTGACTAGAACATAATGTCACGTCTCCCAGCTGACTGTGATTAGAACATCCTGTCACCATCTCCCAGCTGACTGTGATTAGAACATCATGTCACTATCTCCCAGCTAACTGTGACTAGAACATGCTGTCACTATTTCCCAGCTGACTGTGACTAGAACATGCTGTCACCATCTCCAAGCTGACTGTGACTAGAACATCCTATCACTATCTCCCAGCTGACATATGTAATTTTCAATAAGTTATCGTGACTAGAACATCCTGTCACCATATATCAGCTGACTGTGATTAGAACATCCTGTCACCATCTCCCAGCTGACTGTGACTAGAACATAATGTCACGTCTCCCAGCTGACTGTGATTAGAACATCCTGTCACCATCTCCCAGCTGACTGTGATTAGAACATCATGTCACTATCTCCCAGCTGACTGTGACTAGAACATCCTGTCACCATTTCCCAGCTGACTGTGACTAAAACATCCTGTCACCATCTCCCAGCTGACTGTGATTAGAACATCTTGTCACCATATCTCAGCTGACTGTGACTAGAACATCCTATCACCATATCTCAGCTGACTGTGACTAAAACATCCTGTCACCATATATCAGCTGACTGTGACTAGAACTTCCTGTCACCATCTCCCAGCTGACTGTGACTAGAACATCCTGTCACCATATCTCAGCTGACTGTGACTAGAACATCCTGTCACCATCTCCAAGCTGACTGTGACTAGAACATCCTATCACTATCTCCCAGCTGACTGTGACTAGAACATCCTGTCACCATATATCAGCTGACTGTGATTAGAACATCCTGTCACCATCTCCCAGCTGACTGTGACTAGAACATAATGTCACGTCTCCCAGCTGACTGTGATTAGAACATCCTGTCACCATCTCCCAGCTGACTGTGATTAGAACATCATGTCACTATCTCCCAGCTGACTGTGACTAGAACATCCTGTCACCATTTCCCAGCTGACTGTGACTAGAACATGCTGTCACCATCTCCCAGCTGACTGACTAGAACATCCTGTCACCATACCCCAGCTGACTGTGACTAGAACATAATGCCAACGTCTCCTAGCTGACTGTGACTAGAACATGGTGTCACCATTTCCCAGTTGACTGTGACTAGAACATGATGTCACCATCTCCCAGCTGTCTCAGATTAGAACATCTTGTCACCATATCTCAGCTGACTGTGACTAGAACATCCTGTCACCATATCTCAGCTGACTGTGACTAAAACATCCTGTCACCATATATCAGCTGACTGTGACTAGAACTTCCTGTCACCATCTCCCACCTGACTGTGACTAGAACATCCTGTCACCATACCTCAGCTGACTGTGACTAGAACATCCTGTCACCATATCTCAGCTGACTGTGACTAGAACATCCTGTCACCATCTCCCAGCTGACTGTGATAAGTTATTCAGTCACAATCTCCCTGAGAGTATCGCGACATGTTCTGAGTCGGTATATCAGTTCGAAGTTCCAGTACCAGGGGATGGTGTGGGGGAATGTTGTTGATAAACTCACAAAATCAATACTAGACGGTTGTTGATTCGTGTTAAAACAAGGTTACCACAATGTTAGATATGTGGTTGTTTTACTCTGCGTGAGTGTGTAATATTGTCCCACAGTTTTCTGTAATGTGTGACTCCATCATGTCCGACAATCGCCTGTGATTGGACAAATTATCATTATCAGTAGGTATAAATAATAGGCCAGCGTGACGTCATTATTATAGTACTATGATTGAACGTTTTAGACATTTTGACAGATTTCTTGTCGTTTCGGCTGTTATTATATCTTGTCGTTTCAGCTGTGATTATGACTGGTCGTTTCAGCTGTGATTATGACTTGTCGTTTCAGCTGTGATTATGACTTGTCGTTTAAGCTGTGATTATGACTTGTCGTTTAAGCTGTCATTATGTTTCAGCTGTGATTATGACTTGTCGTTTCAGCTGTCATCATGACTTGTCGTTTCAGCTATCTTCATGACTTGTCGTTCCAGCTGTCATCATGACTTGTCGTTTAAGCTGTCATTATGTTTCAGCTGTGATTATGACTTGTCGTTTCAGCTGTCATCATGACTTGTCGTTTAAGCTGTCATTATGTTTCAGCTGTGATTATGACTTGTCGTTTCAGCTGTGATTATGACTTGTCGTTTCAGCTGTGATTATGACTTGTCGT